CCCAAAATTTGACACTAACCACAATCCAACAATATAATATCTAAAGCCCATCCGTCGGGGCAATTCAAAATCAACTCATTCCCGTCCAACCATAACCTTCATTTATCAATCTATTCGATCAAATCAATTCACACAGCCCATCCACGGCAATCAATTCCAACCATCCCATCTGCCACTTCAACTAAGTATGTCATCCACTCACACTCACATATATACACTTAATAGTTTAAATTAACGATTAAACAAACGTATATCTAACCTCCCAAGCAATTGATTCAATGATATTATTTCAATTGCTTTAAAAACGATTACTTGTCTAAGCCTTATTCATAACTGACTCTTCCTCACCCATTTTATTTAAAATTCTAAATTAGCTTAATAAATATTCAGCTAGATTTTATTTCAGCTTATACCGACACCCTTCTAAGTTGTAACTATGTTCATGGAAATAATATATAACAATATGCAGAACTAATTTGCATTCCACTTATACCGATTGTTCTTTAGCAAAACATTATATTTGATTGATTATTCATTCAAATTTAATTTAATCAACTATAAATTATAAGTTTAGGGAATTTATACCAAAAAATAGGAAATTGGTCTTAGAACGTACCAATTGAAATTTGGGTGACAATTCCACGATCCTCGCGAAGAGAGGAAAATTCTGTCCTTGGTGCCTCGCCGGAGTCTCGCCGGTCGGTCACCGGAACGCCGCCGCCACCGCCGTTTACGGTGGCTGAAAAATCAATAATGCCCAGAAATTCGCCACGATCATACCATCCAACTCGAAATTCACCAACGATTCCATTTCCGGCGTTGGTTTAGTGAGATCAACCCTCTAGTTGGTCGAAACGAGCTTGACAGTTGCCCCTTACCGCCATTCATGGTGGTTCCAGCTCCTTCCACCAAAACCGTCGTTTCTTGGATGGAAATTGTTCACACAAGACAAAGGAATCAATGAGAGCTCACCTTGAAGCTTCACGTTGCCAGAATCGCCTGGTATCGCCGAAGATCGAAGAACAAGAACTATTAATGGGGACAGTCTCATTCGCGCCACTGGAGGCTCTGCTAGCGGGGAAGGAGGCCAGAAAATGGATCAAAGACCCCAGGGAAGGCGATCGCCACCTCGCTCTCGTCGAGCGGTGGTCGGAAATGAGAAGGAAAGGGAGGAGAAGCAGGCTGTCGCGCGCTCAGAAGAAGAAGAAGAGAGGAAGAAAAGAAGAAACTAAGTCAGTTTCTAGATCATTCCGGTTCAATTCGAACCGATTTGGTCCGATTCAATGATTTGGCTCGATTTTGCTCGGTTTGCAGGTTTTTCACTTGGTTTTCAGGTTATTCGTGTGGTTTTCGAAAATTTTCGAAAAATCAATTTGAATTTCGGGTCCGATTCGATTTATTTTGATTAATTTAGTTAGATTCCGTAACATTTCTCCATTTTACTCCATAGCAATAAAAACAATAATAATAATGATACTTGATTTTTGGATAATTAATTCATATAATAATCACATACATATAAATATATTTTATAATGGATTAGTAACTGGAGTTCTATATTATTTCCTAAAAATTTTTAAGTGTTCTCAAATCGAAGATTCCAATAATATATTTTTGGGCTTGGTTTGGGCTCGGAATGAGAACTGTATTTCTATTTTTAAGTGTTCTCAAATCGAAGATTCCAATAATATATTTTTGGGCTTGGGCCCAGCTGGCAAATTTGGGCTCGAATCGAGACTGTATTCTATTCGCAGTCCACATAGTCAAAATTTCTGATTTTTAATTTAATAAAAATTCGAAGGTTTCAAAAATAAAAATTCGGGGTGTTTCACGAATCCAGAACCACCGAAAATTTGTCCAGTGTGGTTTTCATTGGGCTAACCCTTTAGGGTACAAAAATAAAAATATTAATTAATTTAACTAATATTTAATATAAAGTTATAATTTTTAAATAAGCATAAATAAAATGATAAGTATTAGTTTAAAAAATAATAACAATTTCATTAGTAGTTAATTTTATGAAGTTAATTAAATCCAAATATAATACAACTACAAATTAACTAGCAATTAATTACGAAACATTTATAATCTAACCGTTGAATACAAATAAATTATCAACTACATGAATTAGCTGAACTAAACACCCTTTAGTTTGGTTCAAATTTGTTATATACAAATAATCTAATTGTTGATTTCAGTTTGGATTTTTGATTTCAATTCAACTCTAATTCAAACCAAATCAATGACCAAGTTTAAGTTTAAGTGTAATGTATAATGTGTAATAGGTAATAACTAAACTGTCAAAATTTTATTCCGTAGGTGAAATGAGAAACTTTTCAAGAGGTTAACCCACGGTTTTATCCTACATGTGAAATGAGAAACTTTCTAAGAGGTCACTCATCCTAAGACTTTCCTTAAGCGAGGACGCTTTAGTTATGAAGTTCTTCCAACTCTCCAAGTCATTCCACCAAAAAGGCACATTTATGTTAGTTTCTCCCGTTTTAATGTATGATTTGATTCATTTTTATGTCTCTCACTCCATTATCCTAACTAGTCTCGCTATTCTAGAAGTCTGCCAGGAACTTTGCTCTGCTTGCTCTCTTTGGACTTCTTAACTAGGAAGTCGCATAAACTTAGGGATACTTGAGATAGAAACTAGCCACATGTCAAGTTTTGTTTATTGAGTGTATGTTTTAGTTAATAATTTTATGAAATTGTATCAGCAAGCTCAATCTTTATACCGTTATGATGCTTATTTTATGGGAATATAGTCTAGTAAAACTTTTAAAGACAAATAATTATCGCACAAAATAAATCAACCTTGTAACTTGTTTTGCATTAGTTTTTAAAGTGGTATTTAATGTTTTAATTAGGATTAAAATATTATCTTTATTATTTATATTATTTGGGGACATAATGTTTATATTAATATTTAAAAATTGAAAGAATAAGTGGTTGATGAATGAGCCAAGATTTATAATCATTAAATATTAAAATTTTTAAACTTAAAAAAATGGGATGCAAAAAAAAAAAAATAATAATAATAATAATAATAAAGTCTTTTAATGCCATCGGCAACCATTTAGTTATGTTAAATGCAAAAATACACTCTTCTACCAACCAATTAAGTCACCCAAGGATATAATAATTTGGCAAATCTGATCTCTTTAGATCAAACATTATACTTTATTTATTAAGTATCGTGTTGGCGGGTAAGACAGCACTAACCAAAGCTGTCAAAGCTCAGAGATTAGTTTAAACCAGCACTTTCTGAAGACCATATCCAATTATATGAATATTTTAAATTTAAATAATTAGTTAATTGATAGTGATAAAGGCTTGATGCGCTCAGAGCTGGCAAAGTTGCTTCTTCACCCATTTTTATGAAATGACCCCATGTGCCTCTATCTCACTTGTTAACGCAAGAGCTTTGTTTAATCACTATTTTAAGTTTAAGCAATATTGGTTTAATGCACAAAATTTCTTCAACTTCACTTTTATCCCTGTGGCACTCTTCAGTTCTCAAGAGACCACCACATGCTTCTAAAGTAGTATTTTACAGCCACCTTGTAGATTCTTATCTACGTTAGCCCATGTAAGAAATTCATCAGCTTTACCAGGGGCAATTCAAGGGCAATTTTATCATTAGACCTCTTACTATTGCATTTTAAGGTTGCTTAACAGCAAAAAGAAAAAAAGCTAGTTTTTGTATAATACTTGAAAATGAAGGGTAGCTGGTAAGCAAAAAAAGAGTAGCATCCTTACAGTTCCTTACTAATATTAAAGATCCAAAAAGCAAACAAAGAAAAGGAAAGAAAAGCAAGCGGAAACCATAACTATAACTGGAACAAATGGTTTGCAACACAAGTGTCTGGAAAAATCCTACCAACAAGACATTTCCTAGAAGTATAAAGAAATCTGCAGATAAAAATGAGTAATACAATTCCCTTCTAGCTGAGACTTAATGGTTTTGAGAGTAATCAAAACTTAGAGGTTGCTGACAGAACGGCACCTGCAAATAACACCATCCAGAGAAAGTTAAATGTGAAGTCAGAAACATATACCTGAAAGAAACCAGTTTACCATAAAAAAACAAGAATCCCATAATTTCAGAGATGCATTTTACTGCGCTAACTTAACATAGAAAAGATGGGAAAAAAACACAACTTGGAGATTGCTCCTTAACACAGACAGCACACAAACTTAATAATACATTCCACCGTACCTGGAAAACAGCATGTCTAAATTGCTCATATGAATGTGCATACATCATCGAAGCGCTAGGCCATTGCACATATGCAGCATCTCCTGATGTTTGATTTGATCCCACAGCACAGAAGGGGCTCATAACTGGGCTTGCAGCAGGCCTGTAGCCGAGTGCACTTTGAGTCCTTGGCATCTGGCCTAACTGAGGAAAACCGCTATCATACTGAACAAATGGGAGTTGAATCTTTTGCATATGGAATGGTGTCAAGTTAAAGCTTTGATTGGTTGGAAGGCTCCTTATGTACCTGTTTCAATTGAGATGACTATTTAGTTTGAGAAATGAAAATCTTTTCTTTTTATTTTAAATGCAAAATTAAGAGTAAGAAGAGCCAAAACATGATTTGGCTCACAATTCCATAAGTTAACAATTCATCATGGAAAAATTAATTTAGAAAGGACAACAAAGTGCCGCAACTTGAAGTGAAAAAAAAGATTGCCGAAAATAGCATCCAAATAATGAAGCCACCCACCACCTTCATAGCTACAAGACCAAATATAATGAAAAATAATCCTTACCGTTCATAACTTCGGTCGTAATCTGGGTCAGTCCGATCTTTCTCCCTATCTCTCAAAATGGCGACCCGAGATGGTGCACCATCCCTGGTGTAAATAAATTTTTCTTGATCAGTCGCTGAGTTCCTGAAACCTTGATGCTCATCCTTGCTTGAACTTGCGCTTTTTCTGTCTATAGAACCCTGGGATACTGTATCATCTGAGTTGGGACTGCTAGGGCTACTGAAGATGCGAGCTCGTGCCCTATCATACTCCTCCTTTCTCTCTTCTACACTTCTTACAGGACTCCGTTTGATCCCAAATTCATTAGATTCATTGATGGACCCTCTATTAGGCCGAGGCCTAATGGCAATTTTAAGGTGTTCAGGTTTATCACTTTCCAACTGTTTAGCAGGAATTTCAGATAAGCGCACTGCAGGGTATCTGCTTTCTGCTGTTGTTTTCTTCACGAGGATTTTATTTGTCAGACCATCTATGCTGTTATCCTGTACCATCGTTATCAGACCATAGTGTTGAGCAACACGGTGTGCTGCAAGCCTAAGGTAGGAAGTAGGGAAATGTTGGAATTCAAATTGTTGTTGATCGGGGTTTTGTAAAAACCTCTGGATATCAAGTTCCATCCGTAAAACTGAACAAGAAATTCAGGAAAAAGTAAGTTTGTCGATCATTAAAAAATAATTAAAAAAAGAAATGCACTATACACAAATAAAAATATCCAACCCGATTGTGTATCTTATACTGTCATACATAACACTAACTTCAGCTTATAAACGAAAAAAAGGATTATTATTACTGAAACAGGCAATCCAACCCTTAAAAAGGACTTGCTAATGCAAATGGCTCTGGGGGCAAAAACATCTATACAAAGACATTCCTAAATGTTATATGCAGAGAGAACCATATATATATTATTACTTAAACAGGCAATCCAACCCTTCAAAAGGACTTGCTATGCATCAATGCGCTGGGGGCAAAAAACATCTATACAAAGACATTCCTACCTGTTATATGCAGATCAGGGAACCATATATAATATACTAGTATATTATACTATTATATATATTATATTAATATATATATATATATGTTCTGATTCTTTCTCTCTCAGTTCTCACACTCATACAGCATGTCTGCAGAGAAATATGCAGGTTCTCTCAAAATATGATAAAGTGACTGACAAAAACAAAAAAAAAAAAAAAATCAACCTCTAAAAAAAAAAAAAAAAAAAAAATCAACCTCTAGGTCATTTTGATCCATGAGAAGACATCAACAGTTCAATACTCTTTATCTGCAATACTGGGAGGAGGAAAATAGAGGAAAAAGAATCAGCTCAACTCTGAGACTCAAACATTTGTAGAAGACATTTACAGGCTTAAAGACAGAGAGAAGCACAGACAAAAAAGCTAATTACATCTGCCGATTCAGGCTTCCTTCCCATTCTTTTGTTGATCCAAGCTTCCTATAAGGAATAACGATGTCTAAAGTTTCAATTTTATTTAGCTGGAGTTTCATGTTTCAAATTTACGGTGATAGATGTGATATTTAACACTTGGTGTTTCCTTAGCACTATCCATAAACATATCAACAAATTCAGAAAACTAATATAATGGTAGTATATAACAAGGACCAGAAAAAAGAGTATATACTCAATACTGATAGAATCTATGTAAGCACTTATTAACAACCATGTTATAATTTGAACTTTGGTATATCAACAATGAAACTTAATGTTTAACGTATCAAACATATACATGCTAAATTTCTGATTGATTGAATATCCATATACTATTCATCTATATAACACTTTAAAGGTGGACTTCCATTTCATCTGGTTATGAATATAATTTTCAAAAAAAAGATGAAATACTTACTGATATTGCAACCTTGTTATAATTTGAAATTTGGTATATCAACAACAATCTTAATGTTTGTTGAGAGATTATATTGTAATTGTATTTCTTGTATCTCATCAATCGATTACATAGGTGTATATATAAGGAATTCCTATGCTACCTAGCTATTTAGGTTCTATGCTACTCAGTATTTAGGAATTCACAAAATTTCATAAACTACAATTAGGATCTACACTACCCTAAATCAGAACTCCTACTTTACAACAATTCTTACACTTCCCCTCAAGTTTGAGCAATAGAATGCTGGTTAAATCTACATGGCTCAAACATCTGTTACAAACTACTACTTTCACGGATAACGCACAATGACCTACTCAGCACCTGTACCCAACTTCCATTATAGCAATGATAGAATCCCAAACAATAGTAGCCAGCAGATTAAGACAAACCACACTTATACGCCGTTGTCGGAAACAAATCTCACTGAACCAACTCACAGTGCTGCTTTCAAGGCTTCCCAATTACTTCACATGCCTTCAAAGAGGAAGTCCAACCGCAGCAACAGGAAATTAGCAAACGAAGCACCCACTTGAAAAGGCCAAGAACAACAATTGCAACTCACCTGGGTCTGCACGTGCCTCTCGACAAAAGGAGCAAAGGAGAAGGTTCAAAAGTAGAATACCCGTAACTACAGCAAAGGTGCAGTACTAAACCCTAATCAAAAAGGAATCACTAGAAAATCACCGAAAATTACCTAAACTAATTGTCACAGGAAAGGAAAAATATGTTTCCTCAGCAAATTAAAGCAACAACGGTAGCAGATGATTGCCCGACACAGCTGCAACAGAATCACAACAAACAAACCTATTGAATATGCCCAAAAATGACGATGCAACTCACTGGGTTGCACGTCTCTCTTCAAGCCAACGTCGAAGAGAGGAACCGGAGTGAAAAAGACCATTGGACATGCGCCAGCAAGTGAACAAGAGCAGGAAGAAAGAGGGGGCGAGTGGTGGCCATTCGCTTGGAATCCGGCGACCGGATTCTGGGGAGTTGTTGATCGACGGCTGGAGAATATACTTGGGTGTGAGGCAAAATATTAACCCTAGAAAGGCTTCCTAGGGTGGCAGTGGCTTCTCGTAAAGGAAGTTTCGGGAAATTTCTTTTTTTTTTTTTTTTTTTTTTTTTTTTTTTTTTTTTTTTTTTTTTGAGGAAGGGCCTGATTTACCATTTGAGAGATTATATTGTAACTTGTACTTTCTTGTATCTCAATCAATCGATTACATAGGTGATATAAAGGATTTCCTCTCTACCTAGCTATTTAGGAATACAAATTAAACTATTAGGAATCTAAACTCCTATAAACTCTGTTACAATTATTTCTTAACCAATGTTTAAACGATAATCAACCATATACATACCATTGTATTTCTTGTATCTCATCAATCGATTACATAGGTGTATATATAAGGAATTCCTATACTACCTAGCTATTTAGGAATACAAATCATAAACTATTAGGAATCTAACTCCTAATAGAACTCTGTTTACAATTAATTCTTAACAATGTTTAACGTATCAACCATATACATACCAAATTTCTGATTGATTGAATATCCATATACTATTCATCTATATAACACTTTAAAGGTGGAGTTCCATTTCATCTGGTTATGAATATAATTTTCAAAAAATAGATGAAATACTTACTGATATTGCAAAACTGGTTTTTTCCAAATTTCCAAAAATTATGAGAATTGTAAATGTGTTATGTAATTAAGCAGGTAGAACCATTCATATAAATCAATCACATTGGTTTAAGCTCTGCCCATTATGCTATTTGTTAAATCCAAACCATCAGTGAAATCATAGCAGTGAGTGTTGCAAGCACACTCTTTTGCCAATGGAGGGGTAGGGTGGTCTTTTGATACCATCAAGGGTAGCGTAGTATACTGTTATATAATACCAGTAAGAAGCACTACCCATGTGTTTTAGATTAGCCCATGGTCCAGAATGATTTACTTTTAACATATAGTTGCATAAATTTTCTATAGCAACATTTCTCTTATAGGACTCACACATGAATGGCCTCCATGGAACCATGGTGCAATTCTTGACATTATGATAACTAATATTCTCATTTCTCAAGCAATCTAACCATTTGTCAACTGAAAAGAGGAGATGAAAGAGGTGATGAACATGAAGAAGAAACATATATGTTCATTTAAATATCCTCTCTTTTTATAGGAAAACTTTTGATCTTTGATACAAAATCAAGGGCAAATTAGCAATAGTGGGGCTCAATAAGAATATTTCATCGAGAAATAATAACAAAGTACGATATATTATATGGGGAATATTTCTACTTTTAATTCCAATTCCATAAAGAAATTGGAGTACAAACAAAAATAAAAAGGACAAAATCATCGTGAAGTAGGACAGATGCACCAGTTGTTTACTGCAACATGGTGATTGTGTATGTGCTGATCACATTCCATAAACAATTAGATATACAACATCCTCAAAAACTGTAGATAAAGAGTTGTAGAGGTCAGCTTACTTGCAGAAAAAGCAAACTGAGGACGCATTTGGTCCCTGAATATCATGGAATATCATGGGAATTGAATAATTATTCCATATAGAGTAATTATTTTTAGCTTTGCTTCAGATTTAGATGTCGAATCATTTTTCCATGGAATAACAATTTTATAATCTCATGTTTTCGTTTGTAAATGTGAAATAATTATTATTTATAATAAGTATTTTCAAAATCTATGGAATACAAATTACACAAAAGTGCAAGATAGTTATTTCATTTCATGTAGTATTTATTCTAATCATTCTCCTAAGCTTAATAATCCCAAAAAATACCAAAAAATGTCTAAGTTTGAATGTCTACTATCTTGGGGGTGTCATTTGTCCTTATTTGATGTCCTTGCACATCTAACCACCTCCAAGGTTTGTATGATGGCTTGGAGTTAAAAGATTTCAGCAGAGACGAGACGCATCCAATAATTTATTTCATATTAAACCTACCTTTTCAATTAAATTGCTTAACAAATAATCTACCTTGTAATCTATAATATTTATTTCCTTCAACCACAACAACTTGTTTATCTGTCAGTATCAAACCTAAATTAAAATTCACAGCTTTGCCATCCCAGACAATCAAATAACTTGAAAAAAATTCCACTTCACAGCCTCCCCATAAGATAGAAATATATCCTCCAAAGATTATTGATCTCACCTTAAGAAACTTCAAAAGTAATTTCAAACAGTAGCTATTTCATTAGGAGTGCAACGACAAATAAGCTTCAAAAAGTAATAACTGAACATAACTAAATCCAGATCAAACAGTATCATCTCTAAGCAACAGTTAAATATACTTTAAAGAGGATACCTATAAATCTGAATATAGATGGAAAACTAAACAAAGATGCTACAAAATTTACCTTAATCTAGGGTAACATATAAATGTTGAAGAAGTCTAATCTGTTTAAAGAAGTGAGGCTCAATCAGTAATGCATAGGGCCATCAAACTAATAACAATCTGAATGCATAGAACCAAGGAGTAGGTAGTCTGTTTCACACGTCTAATTGACTAAGATGAAGTAGAATACTAACATTAATATTAATATAATGCATAGCACCGAGGAGAATACTGTTTAGGAAATTAATGAAAACCAGAATTAGCATATCGAGGAGTATGACCGTTTTAGAAAATATAGACAACTAAACAAGGCAACAAAATAATCTACGCCTCACATAAGCATGAGATCCTATGATACACATTCTCTCCATAATTTGGGATGTATACCACAAACCACATTATAACTCTACATGATTTCAGGCAATTAACTATAAAGTCTATGAAGCATTAGTTCAATTTATTCCAGAAGTTCAAATGCCATTTAAATCAAGATTTGAACTTCAGTCAAGCTCTGGTAACACCTGAGAAGAGGGGGAAGAGAGGTGGGGTGGGGGAGGGAGAAGACCATACATTATGTCCTTCCATGAACAGATGCAATATCATGGGCATGCAAATTTAAACAATATCATATTGACAAATAATTATAAACCTTCAAAACAAGCTGTCATTATCCTCATGTGTGTAAATACAATTGCATGCTCTAAATGCAAATCCAAAGGCTAGCTATTTACATAACTCCACACATTAGGGATATATTACATATATAAAACACAATTTTAGAACACTGCAAGAAAAATAGCAGATCTATGCTCCAGTTGGAACCAAATTAAATCCTGCAATAAAATACCCCAAAGGATCGGGTGACAAAAAAAAAAGCATGAAAATTCAAAAGCATGCCCTAGTAGATGGTAGAATTCATCAAAGCTCAACAAAGTATTAACTTCCTATAAAGAAGAAACAGCTGGAAAAAGTCAGAATCTTAGTTTCAGTTCCCTGGATTCTTCTGGAAACCAAAAAAAAGCAGGAAATACCCAAAATAAAAACCCAGATCTGATAAAACAAACAGCTTCCAGGTAATCAATTTCCAAATAAATCAATCAACCAAATCCTAACCCCACATTCCAGTACCAAAAAAGAATAATAATAAAAATATATATAAACCCATAAACAAAACATAGAAAACCGAAGTCAACATAAACATCCAGAAAACACAGCAAATATCAAACACCTAGAAACTCAAATAATCAAACAGATCCAAATAACACAAAAAAATTAGGATTTTGGAGCAAAAAATTAAAGCCTTGAGAAAATTATGAAAAAAGAACTAACTGGTGAGACGGTGACGTGGGTTCTGGAGAGCCTCGACCAAGAAGGGATCAACCATCGACTCCTTTTCATTGATTGCTACAGCCTGCGTCGAGTCCATGGCTTAATGACCTTTCTCAACGACACTACAGAACCTTCGTGTCTCCACGCTCCCTCTACAATTACCACCTTCTTCTTCGTCGACGTCGTCTTCTTCTTCGTCTTCCCTGCAGAGAGAGGAGGGGAAGAGAAGGCGTAGATGTGTCAAGACGCAAAAAATTGTTTCATTGTTAGAGAGAGAAAGAGAGACCTTTGTTTTTTTGGTTTTGTGGTCTTATCTCTCTCCTCACCCAAAAAGAAAGGGCAAGTAGGCGAGGGATGAGATCTTATATTTGTATCAAAAATCCAAAATCAAATCCAATTCTTATAATTTCCCTTTTTTTCAATGTGAACAGACATCAAAGTCCAACCCACCGTTTCATCGCGCACTTTGGACCCCCGACTTTCGATTTTTCCTTTTTGTTTTTCCGTGGGTTAATTATATTTTTGATGTCTGAATTTATAACTTTTTTAATTTTTCGTGTTTAAACGAAAACATTATTAATTGAATGTGTGGACTGTAATTTTTATTTTTATTTTGGTATCTGTTGACGATGTGAACAACTAAAAAATTATTAAAATTAAAAAATCATTAAAATTGAGTGGGACCTATTTTTACCTATTTGGACGCTTATTTGGACTGACATGTAATCTACGTCGTTATGTTAACATGGCAAATGCCTTGAAATGACTATCCTAACCGCATTTATTGAGCTGGAAAACTCTAAACCTCCTTAGTTTCCTCTCTCTCTCTCTCTCTCTCTCTCTCTCTCTCTCTTCTACGTCGTTATTGTAACATGGCAAGCCTTGAAATGCTTATCCATAACCCGTTTATTGACTGAAAACTACTAAACCGCCTATCGTTCTCCTCTCTCTCTCTCTCTCTCTCTCCTCTCTCTCTTCTCTCTCTCTCTCTCTCTCTCTCTCTCTCTCTCTCTCTCTCTCTCTCTCTCTGAATTAGCAATTAAAATGATGCTGCTTTTGCTGTAAGGAAAAAAATGTCAATCCCTCATATTCCTCTCTCTCAGCTTGCATCGCTGTTTGTCTCTCTCTCTCTCTGTATTTTTGTTTGCTCTATCGATTTACCTCTCTAAGTCTCTCATTCTTTGTCGATTCATCTCTAATTTCTCTGGCTTCCTCAACTTTCCCAACAACCGAACACTTCAAAGAAAAAAGTTCTAACAAAATATAAAAATAGAAAACTAAACAAGAGCTTAAGTATATAGTGATCCTCTCATTTTGTACAAATGTTTTAAATTGCAAAATATTTTCATCTTTCTCACTGTCATCACCATTTCCATCACTGCTGTCAATGTTGACAATATATTATATAAAAATCTTATACAAAACAAAAAAATAAAATGAAATGAAAAAGACATTGGCTCAAGATGAAGGATTTGCAAAACAAACATTCTAGAAAATATAACAGAAAAGAGCAGTGGCAACTTTGGCTCCAGTTCTCTCAGTTTAGTCGTCGGTCATGGATGCAAGCAAAAGCTTTTATCTTTGATTGTTTTCTCTCTATATCTGCTATAGTATCTAATAATTACAATTTGCACTATTATTATTGAGAATATGTTGGAATTACTCAAGGGAGGGTCAAATCTGGATTGGGAATTGAGAGAGAGTGGCAAAAAAGGAACAGAAAAAAAAGGAAAGTAAGGAAGCTTAAGGTTTTATAGTTTAATTAAACGAAGTTAGAATGGTCATTTCAAAGCATTTGCCACGGTGGCATAATGACATGGATTAAATGTCAATCTAAATAAGCTTCCAGCTAGGCAAAAGTGGGTCACACTCAGTCTTATTGTATTTTCAGATGTTCACCTCATCAAGAGACAATAAAATGAAAAAAAAATTAAAAGTTCAGACATTCAATTGATAGCATTTTCCATTCAGACATCAAAATAAAAAAATTTCACATGTTCAGACACTAAAAATATAATTAACCATTTTTCTGTAGTGGAGCTCTTGCCATTAGGGAACTTCTTTTTAATATTACTAGTTTTCTCGATTATACATCTTTAGTTGATTTTTAGTAATCATAATGACATGGATTAAATGTCAATCTAAATAAGCTTCCAGCTAGGCAAAAGTGGGTCACACTCAGTCTTATTGTATTTTCAGATGTTCACCTCATCAAGAGACAACACTCAGTCTTATTGTATTTTACTCAGATGTTCACGCTCATCAAGAGACCAAAAAATGGAAAAAAAAATTAAAGTTCAGACATTCAATTGATGCATTATTCCATAATCAGACATCAAAAGTAAAAAAATTTCACATGTTCAGACACTTAAAAAATAATAATTAACCAATTTTTCTGTTAGTGAGCTCTTTGCCATATAGGGAACTTCTTTTTTAAATATACTATTTTCTCGATGTATAACATCTTTTAGTTTGATTTTTCAGTAATTCATAATAAATATAATTTAATTTTTATATATCTAATTCTTTTTTTATTTTATATACGAAGATAGAAACGCTGCCAATTTGCCCTCTAATTTGGAGAGTAAATCATTCAGTTTGCCCGAAAAATCAACTTTTCTGTACAATTTATCCCGTAAACTTTGCACCAAAAGAAACAAAACACCCAAGTTTTTCATAAAAAAAAAAATATATATTTTTAATCTTTTTAAACTAATAAACCAATTATTTTAAAATTTTAATCTTAAGGAAAGACACATTATTTAAAGAAATAACAATAATTATAAAAAATTCATAGGCTGGTCTTATCTTTCGTAATTCCAAAAGGTAACTAAAAAAATATTTGATTTTAAAAAATTATAGATTTAGAAAATATTTGTTATATAATATTTGGATAAAATTTTATTATTTTTTGTGATTTTCTATTTGATCTTAATGGAACTATTTTATTATGTTTAATTTTATTATTGATTTAATTAAAAATTGTTTGAAGGTATTTAAAAAAATAGGGGCTTTTTTTTTTTTTTTCTTTTTGGTTAAGTTAGGTGGTGGTAAATTGCATCCAATTGATCTTTTGGACTGATCAGTTGCACTCCCAATATAAAAGGAGGCAAATTGAACTTATTCTTATATATATTTAATATATATATATATAATATATATATATATATATATATATAATTATTTATTATCGAATTATAATATAATAATATTATCTCAATTTTTATTATGAATTATAATATAAATAATTTATCTATGAATGTGTGCGTATGTGGGCGTACGTGCGTGCATGTGTATCTGTGTGTGAATAGAAGGAACTAATGAGATTTTCAATGTTTAATAAATTTGAAATATCCTACGATAGCTTTAGTCGTAGCTAATTTGAAAATTATATTTTATACTAACGAGTATTTGAATGACTGATTCGACATTCTTCTCCCTTAAATGAAGTTGAGGGTTCGATCCTCATGGATGGACCAAATGCTCGCTTGAAGCACTTTACCTCTTCATGGGCAACCTGATGCGAGCAAGATTTATTTGTAGCACAATGGGCTCGGATACTTGTGGTTAAGACAAGCGAAAAAGAAATTTACATTTTATTATTTGCTTCGATATAATTTCTAAATATTATTTTTAAATAAAAATATATATAGATAATAAAAAAGAAAAAAGTATACTAGAACATTTCTTTTATGTAATCTTTTTTATTAATCAATGAACTTATTTATTTGTTTATTTTAAATTTGCAACTTAGAAAAACAGGGAAATAAAATTAGATTCTACAATATTGTTTGCTTTGTAATTTTCATTTATTTACTTGGCTATAATCTTTTTTCTTTTTGTCTATCAATATTTTATTATTTTATTGGATATAATTTCTAAACATTATTTTTTAATTTCTAAACATTATTTTTTAAATGAATATATATAGATAATAAAAGTATACTTTTTTTCCGTATGGTTGTAGGGAAGATTGAGGATTTATTTGGTGCGTTTCTTATATGTAATATTTTTTATTAACTAATGAACTTATTTATTTACTTATTTTAAATTTGCAATTTAGAAAAATAGAGAAACAAAATTAGATCTTGTAGTATTATTTGTTTTGACTATAATATTTGTAGTATTGTTTGCAATTAGTTAAAGAAGTGGTTGATTTTTGAAATTCAAATTGGTTATTTTTTTAATATAATTTGTTTCTTGTTATCAGTTGAGTTCCGAAAAAAGTTATATTCTTAATAACAATTTTTTTATTTTTTAATTTCTTTTTCGTTACTGAATTAATTTGTAACTACTATTACTTTAATTTAGTAAGAGATGTGCGGGTCCCGTATATATATGGCACAACCCAAGAGAGGGGGTGAATTGAGTTTTCTAAAAATAAAAAAAAAAATAACTTTCAAAAACAAAATCAGAATTCTGTTGCAGCGGAAATAGAATGCATTTGTGAGAGTAAGTTATTAAGATAGAATTCTGTTGCAGCGGAAATAGAATGCATTTGTGAGAGTAAGTTATTAAGATTAGAACTTCCTCACAAAGCTCTATGCAGAAAATAGAAAGAGTTTGTATAGAGCAGCTATTAATTAGAACTGCATCACAATATCTTAATCAATTTCAAACCTACTTTACGAAGGAAAGTTATTACGTTTTTGAACTACCTCATAAAGTTTAGACAAATATTAAAAAGTATATGAGAGACAGTTATTGAATTTCTAAACTGCTTCATAAAGCTTTAAGTAAATTTAGAAAACTGATTAAAACCCAAATTGTGAAATATAGTGAATATAGAAGAACAGATTAGAACTTGGTATATTCACAATACAGAAATCCAGAGTTCTAATCTAATGTTCAATAAGATAAAGCTTATTCGAATTTAGAGCAAAAAACATTAACAGACTTAGTATTTCTAAAAGATTAAATAGAAGGTATAGTAAAAATGGTATCAAAGCAAATTTTAAGAAAATAAAAGATTAACACAGCGATTTATAGTGGTTCGGACTACGTCGCTACATCACTTCCCCATACTCATCTTGAGATCCTCCTATGTTATTCTTTTAAGGACAAGAGACAAACCACAGTACACAGGCAATAGCATCAACACCTAGATCTCACCAGTTTGTCCCATGAGATTTTCCAAAAGGTTCTAGTCAACCTCAACCCTTTCTGTTTTTGCAGAGAGAAAATCTAAATTAGCACATTAGAATCCCCAAGGAGAATGTTCCGTCTTGAATAAACCTATTTCACAATAAGCTTTTCACCTAAGCTATTGCACAATGTATTTTTCCAATTAATAACCTGTTACAAATATTACAGAATCTATATGATAAAGAGAAATGCACAATATAGC